TGTTTATCTGTTAATCTGTTGATGCACACTGGATTGTTTCTGGTTTGGATTTCCCAGTGTAGCTGTACCATTTTTCATGACTCCTCCATGACACACTGAGGCTTCCACTTCACTTGCTCCACGTCCCAGCCAACACTTGGTATTATCAGTCTTTGTAATTTTTAGACATTCTAATACATGTGTAGTGCTATCTCATCATGGTTTGACTTGTGTATCCCTAATAACTAATGATCTGGAACATCTCATGTACACATTTGCCATCCATATGTTGTCTCTGAAGTGTCTTCAAATATTTTGCCTATTTTTAAAATTGGGTTGTTGGATTTCTTATTTTTGAGTTGTAAGAGTTGTTTATGTATTCTAAAGTCCTTTATTAGATCAGTGATCTGCAAATCTTTCCTGAGCCTTTTTATTCTTTTTTCAGTGCCTATTAAAGAAGTTCTCAATTTTGATGGAAGCTGATTTACTATTTTTTCTCTTATGCATCATGCATGTAGTATCATATCTAAGAAATTTTCCCATAACCCAAGGTCACATAGATTTTTCTTGTTTTCTCCTAGAGGTTTTATAGCTTTAGATTTTTACATTTAGGTCACTGATTATCATTTTGAATTAATTTTTGTATACGGAGATATGGATCAATGTTCCTTTATTTTCTGATTAGTATCCAGTTGTTCCAGTTCCATTTGTTAAAAATACTCTCCCTTTTCTACTGAATTCTATGTGCACCTACTGAATGAATGTTCGCTCACTTCATTTCCTTGTCGAGCTGCAGGAAGTAAGAAGGATATAGAAAAGGGAGCCAGACCTGTTTGTACTTAGGATAAAATGTAATCATGATAAAAGCAGTACCTTGAAAGCCTTCCAAGCAGAGCACCACTTAAGTATTGCCTTTATGAATAAGGCCAAGGATCACTCCAGCCTGGTTCTATCCATCTCTGAGCAGACACTGTGGAAGGACAAAATAGAATCTTTTTCTTATTCCAGTGCTGGATAAGTTGTTGTCCCCAAAGGCTTCTGGAATTCAGTGACTCAGTAGCCAGAAGGGTTGAATGTTAGGTAAGTTGGTGTTTCCAGAACGGCTTGATTTACGAAATGGTAATTATAGAGCCCTGGATACACCACTCAGTGTTGAACTTGTTGACTTCAATGTGAAGTGCTTCAGTTACAAGCTGTTGATTCTGTCTAGGTGGAAAATACTGTCTTGGAACACAGCGCCAAGAGTCACAATTCCTTGATTTCTTCCCACCCTTTCAGATCAGATTTCCAGGTTTAGAGGGTCCTCCATTGGGTTTTCCTTCTCCTTTTTTTTCAGTTGCCCTGACACAGGCACCTGTTATCAGTACTCATAGTGGACCCTTCGCCAAACTGGAGTTGTAGCCCACCTGACCCCATCTCCCCAGGAATGTCTTTACAGGATGCCCCAGGGATTCTTTGAAAATGAATCTGGCAATGGAAATAGAGTAGCTGTACTCACTCTTACAAATGTGTTCACCGATGTCATTTGGCAACAATTACTGTCTTGGGAAAAGGTGTTCTCCCCACTGTTGGTGGAAGTGTATAAAGATTCAAACATTCTGGCAGGCGCTTCGGTAGTAGCGTACAAAGTAAGTGTGTACCTAAACACATCTTTATTATCTGCTCTGTAAACTTTCACATACTCGAAATATGTTCACTGTAGCATTACTTACAATTGCAAAACCATGAAAAACTAAATGTCCACAAAATGTATTTTAGAATCCTACAAAGCATTTTAAAAGTATGATGAAAACTGATAGTGACATGGAAAGAGATTAATACTGCTAAATGAAAAACAAAAATAAGCACAGGACATAGCACAGAGTATGTGTGAGGGGTTACCTCCCAGGAGAGGAGTGGAATTAGAGAGAGTGAAATAAAGAGACTTTTGTTTCTTTTCATTAAAAAAAAATTTTTTTTAACCAAAAGGAATAAATTACTATATTGTTTGTATATTCAAAAAAATATTAAAATAACCTAGCCCACTGGCTTCTTCTGTACAGAAGCCATCAAGTAGCTTAGAGTTATAACTGATAAAAAGTAGGTCTGACACAAATTTAATGTGGTATTCTCTGCACACAGACAAAATCCTTTATTTTACTATACCTAGTATAGTAGGTATAAACCCACACACCTATACCTAGGTTACATAACTTTATTAATAAAATTTTAAAATTACTGTTAAGTAAACCTTGTGGCAGTATCTTAAAGCAGAACATGAAAAAACATTCCTTCTAAATCAATGTCACCAATGTCACTTGATAAAAAAAATTGCACCTTCCTGGTTTTCTATGCTAAACTCTGTAAAATATTAACTCTAAAATACTGCTGCTCAGTGCTAAAAGTTTTAAATTTGTTTTAATTTGAAGGGCAAAAAAGTTGCTCTGTAGGAAAACTAATGGAATTGTCAAAAATAAAATTATAAAAAATTCTTCAGTAAAAGTTACACTTCTGTTTTCTAACTAACTTGGCAAAGCTGCAACTGGTTATTTAAAAATTTATTTCAAAGTATTTTACACAAAATGATACATGAAAGGATAATCGCTTTGATTAAAATTCTAATAAATGACTTGAAAATTTTATTAGCTCTTCTCTGTGTTTTTAGTGCTGAATTTGTCACTGTTTTAAAGTAGCTTAGTTGAAAAAAGAAAAAAGTTAAAAGCACTTGTACTCAACTCTTGAAATCTAGGACCTAGCTGGATAGCCTATCATCAATTCTATGATTTTAAAAAAGGAAAAAAAATAGGAGCTATAGTCTCTTCTCCTAAACAAGAACTTAACGATTTTTAAAAAATCCATCATATTAGCTCTTGGCATATTGAGAGCTTAAGGAGATGACAGAAAAATATTTTCAATATCAGATTATTTTGGCCATGGCAGATTTTCAACGTGAAAATGATAAATTTTTACCTGGCTTCTAAGACAACGGTATTGTTCAGTACATACTGATTTGTTATAGATTCCCTTATTCCATCTAGCAACTGTAAACTAACAGTCAAGACGCTAAACTTAATTCTCTACTGATAATGACAAGGCAAGCCAATCATTAGGTGTTAGGTACACAAGGAAATATTTATTTTCAGTAACTAAAATGGAAAGTCTTACTTATTCCATTTGGCGATAATGGTTCATTGTACCTGAGTATGTGAAGAACAGAAACTGTTATTAACATCAAGTTTTTTCTCCTTGGTCATTGCTCCTGGGAGCAGTGAGATTTCACTCACCCACACACACCTGGGCATGCATGGTCTTGCAAGTTGACGTGTTAGAATACCCATCTCTTATCATATTTTGAAATAATGCTCTCACTCCAGTCTCATATCTGTATGTGGGAGTTGAAATTGTTTGTTTAGCCCAGTGGGCTACTGTAGAGCATAACTTGAATTGATTATGTTTTCCTGAGACTGAAATAGGGTTGGCATTGAACTCAGGTGCTACATGTTTTCAAAATTAAATAAATTTACTGTCAGTGTGTAAGATATACATATGTATTATACAGATGTTATCTGTGTATAAAAATAATGTCCACTTCCAACTGACAGGCTATCTGGAGGCATCTGAGCTAGCTGCCCATGACTGCTTTAACAATGCACATGCTTTCTGCAAATTAATGTGTCATCATTATTTTGAAATACTTATTAAGAAAACTTTTGATTAGATTCACCCATGCATGTTTGTGAATAAGGAAAACTACAACGGTTCTGACGTCTCCAACAGCACCTGGCGGTCGGCTGCTACCTAACTACCTCCTAACCTGAGATGCAGTTTAAATCTGGATTCATAAAGCTAAAAGAAAACCCTGGAGGAAACTGGGGTTAAACCCTCACTTGACAAAGGCAGACCTGAGGGTGTAGGAAGGCTTGGTGGCTTGTCCCAGGGCACGCAGCTGCGATGAAAGGCCTCTGGGTTCACTTTCCACCCAGAGCTCTGTGATGGTGCTTTCCAACCTTTTCACATGCCATGGCGCACACAGAAAATGACAATGTTTTAAGTCACCGTGAGGTAAACTGGAGGGGACAAGGGACTTCATGAAAAATTCATGACATTTTCTATTAAAAAGTTATGAAACGTGTACATTACAAAAGATTTTTTAAAAAATTAATCGAATCTTGTTTTCAACACAAATCCTCTTGTAATTCTCCTTACTTCACTAAGATAATACTAGCATCACTGCAGTCGCACCACCTGTCAGGGGGAGAAGCTGCCTCTGGACACACACACACTCGGTTGATACCACTGAGTTAGGGTTAGTCATGTAAGACTGTGACCATTTAGTCTTAAGTTGAATAACCCACTTCCATAACCCTTGTAATGTTAATTCAAATATATTCAGCTCGGATTTCTCCATAACCCCACCCTCAAACCAACACGTGAGGTGCACACTCAGCCCACATGACTGCTGACTGACACTTCTTCCGACGACTGTTTACTGAATGTCACGAATACAGCTGACATTATACAGAAATGGAGTAGCTACAGTCTTGCCCAACTGTCATACGTTTCAAAACTGTGAAGGTCTGAAAGGTTAACAAGTCCTATCAGCACTTCTCATAGATTTCTGAAAAACATTTTTAGTAACTATACTTAGTTAAAAAGATACATATTGATCAGAGGAAGAACTAAAAATCTATTTATTAAATGAATGATACTTACGAGAGTTTAACAGTTCACCTCCCATTTTCCACTAGTCTTTGACCTGCTTATTTATTATTGATTCATAGAACCCGGGATTGTTTTTGAAATTTATTTAATAACTTCCTGGGGTCAGTGGGTGGTAGGTTAATTATGAAAAAGCAAACACTTCAATGCTGAGTATGAAAGACTGCCTTGCATACCGGTTACTTTCAAGAACCCCAGAAAATACTTCTATTCAGAGTCGAAAGCCCATGTGCTGCCCATGAAGAGAAACATACAGCTGAATGCCTGTCTCATCCCCCTCCAATCAAAATTAGTGAAATACACTGCTGTCACAGACAGCAAAAACAATGGTATATTAATTTTAATAGTAAGAGCCAGGAAGAAAAGACAAAAACATACAAATATGTAGATAAAAGTGAAAAACTGAATAATGTGGACTATTTAACTATTACACAGATGTACAGGATTCTGTGCTCACAGAGAAATCTTGCTTTATTCCATGGGTGTGGGTCCTGCAATAGTTTTAATTACCCATCCCCATCCCCAAATGAATCAGACTGAAAGGAACCACAGTAAATTCTGGATGATTGCTGTACTTCACTAAAAGGAGTTACTTGTACATAAGAAAAATCAACCATGATGGCAAAAACAGCCTGTGAATTGTAAACATACCAAGCAGGACAAGCTCACACCTCAAAGAGAACCCGCCCTCAGTCTCAGTCTTTGGAAGGAGATCAGATGGCTGTACTCAGTCCCATGTGAGCTCCCATCTTGATGTCATACCGGGCGCATCCTATAGGCCAGGTGTGTGCTCACCAACCTATACAGGGGTCTGGGCAGTCCCGCAGGTATGTTTCAAATTGACCTTTGGTAACGTCTATCAAGGCTGTGTATACCGTCAGCTGAAAGAAAAGTTATTTTTACTTTGAGGATGTTTTCAATTCTAAGATGACCTGCCTCATATTAGCATTTCTTGTGGAACTGCTTATGAAGTTTCCTAACATTAAATAATTAATATATAATATATATGTGAAAAGATACAAAATAAGTATCATATAATATAAAGATCCAAAAAATTAATAAGTCAATAACAACTAAAACAGGTCATGATATAAACAGGCATGGGAGAGAATCTTCAGTTCTTTACAAGGTCTTAATTCTGAGCAGTACACTGCTCCACCACCAAAGCTTTAAGACTCACTTAACCCTCCTCAACGCATAATTTACAAAGATGAATGGTGTACCATGGAGTACAGACAGTTTAGCTTTGGCTATCCTTATCCTGAGAGCATTTCTCACGCAGTGAGGGAAACTGCAGACACGCAGAAGGTGCACACCCAGCTCACACAGAATGTGTAAGTAACCCGTGAGCTCACACAGAATGTGTAAGTAACCCAACCGTGAGCTCACACGAAGATGGTGTGGGCACAATGAGAAGTACGGCGGGGTCGGTGGGCATCAGGAAGGCTTCCCTCAGGGCCAGGTTCTCAGTCACATGCTAATGAACAGGACAGTTTGTTCTGGCAGAGGTGACGGAGGCACACTGGTTTCAGGGAGGGTTTAGGAAAAGGACCAAGGAAAAGAAGAGAAGGAACAAATGGGGAAAATCAGAGGAATCAGAAATACACAAGAAGGGGCTACTGGCTACTGGCAAATTGGATGATTAGGACACTTTTGCATATTTTAGCTATAGAGTAGGGATAAGATAAAAGGCTGTAGTAATGTTTAAGAGAAACCCTAATCCACTACGAAAGCAAGCTGTCTGAAAACATACTTCAGATTTTGTCAAGTATCAGGTGCAGCATACAACATTCGGTTCCCCACAGATGGAGAAGTCAAGACTGACATGCTAGACTCAGTCCAAATGCCATGTAAGTAAAGCTGGAAACAACACTCTGACCAAACTGCGTTATCAAGCTGCAGTGACCAACTTCTTTGTCACATTGCAAGAGTTACGGTTTTGGTCACAAAAAAACATTTTAAAAAGCAGCCTTAAGCTGAACATGACTTGGGATTCTAGCTCTGATTAATCCAAGACAACAGGGAAAGATAAAACATGGGATCAAATTCTTTTCCTAAAAGCAAATTAATTAATTAATTAATTATTTAAAAAAATACCTTGTTGAGGACAGGTTTTGTTGACAGGACATCGTACATGGTTGCAAATGAGATATTCTAAAACACAAAAAATAGTTGTTTTCAGTACATTAAATACAGATGTTGGCAGCCTTATCCACACAAGTGGGTCATTAGACCAAGACATTCTTCAATCAACCTCCCCCCTCCCTCAGAAAAGAATTTCCCTTGGGGTCACTGTTACAGGTGATGATTCTAATATATCACATTTTCTTTCTTTCTCTTCCTCCCCTCTTGAATCCTTGCCATTCAACTCCACAGAGTGGTGTCCAGCATTAACTAAGAAACGAAAAAGTACGGCAAAATTTTGCTCTTTACATTAAAAACAAAACAGAAACTCAGTTGGGACTGTCCAGAGACAATGACTAATGGGAGGTTTATAAATTCTTCAAAGGCCAAAGAAAAATGCCAGAATGGAGATAACCGTTAATAGTCACCATTTCTTTCTGTATATGACACTGTGAACGTACCTCTTGGGTTGTCTGGTTTAGACACATCTTTGCAGGTGTTCTGCGATTATCAAGGAAGAAGGGATTTTTCCAACGATCATAATTTGTTTGTACCACATACCATATACCTTGCTTGGGGTCGAGTCTAGATACAAAAAGAGAGATTCCTCCGAGGTTTCATGCCTTAAACCTGTACACACGTCAGTCTATGCTTTACTGTCTGCTTATTTTGCTTTAACAAATGTACTTACTCATATATATCCAAAGACTGTTCTCTGTCTCGTGTAATCACACAACCCTCCCCAGACTTGTTGCCTCCCAGGATAAAGTATGCTGGGGCCAATACTTTGGTTTTGGTCAATGTAGTCTTGGCTTCTTCATAACTATATAGAAACATTTGAAACAAAGGAAACATCTTTAGTTGACTTGGAATGGGAATTTTTTAGTTGTGGAAACTAAAGGGAAACAAGTATCTGAGGGACACATTTTTTTAAAAAGGACAGTGAACAATGGCTCAGGAAGAAACAATCGCTGACTCCTATGTGGTGAAACACTGAGATCTGAAATGTTCCCTCTAACCTGAAGGACAAAAAAAATGGTCTCAAGAGATCACTTTTCACCCTTATAGTCTATACCTTTCACTCCACAATAGAACTAGGAAAAATAATATAAATTTATATATATATATATATATATATATATATATAT